ATTCAGAAACTTGTTTTGGTGTCGAGTTAATGACACATTTGATCTTTTATTTTTGGAAGAAAAGACCAATAACAGCCGAGCAAGTGGTGTGCTCCTCCCAATCAGGCGTAGGAAGAAAAGGAGTTGTTCAATTGAAAAAAAATAAATAAAAAAATCTGTCACTCATCTTTAATATAACCTGTATTTTCAGGCAAGTACAGGATGATACAACAATTGTAGTTACATTTACACTCTGATAAGACAGTAAGAGATTAGTGTAGCTATAAGTACATAAAGTTATTATCAAGCTAGTAAGATTAAATCACTCACATGGTCTGACATGTTCACTGATCCCTCTATGTCTTCAGTGTGTTGACTTGCTCCATCCTCAAACTACACAAGAAACAAAAGGAATACAAGTTTAAAAAATATCGTGAAGCACATATACACAACATGCTTTGGCATGACAATAAGTCATCACTTTTAACGGTCAATACATTTGAGCCTCCCACCTTTTCAGAATCTCGTGTGGACCGACTGGAAATCTGAATTTTCTGGGCTTCCTCCTCTGACTTCCCCACACTGCTGTTGCTCTTCTCTGGTGCAGTCTTGGTAACAGGCTCCACCTTTTTATGGAATAACGTTTCTTCCTGAGTTTTGACAGAAATCAGAAAAGACGTTGGCAACAACATTAACAACTGAAACCTTATGTTATGTGTAAATGATATACACGCAAATACGTAACGTTACCGAAATCTGAGCATTGTCTGGAACCTTCTCAGACTTCTCAGGTGTGCCATCAGATAAATGACCCAGTTTCCTTCTTTTTGCAACTATTGGAAACATGAAAATGCAACATAAACCATGACGACAGGATGAGTTACAGTCCCCTCCAAAAGTATTAGAACGGTAAGGCAAATTCCTTGTTTTTTGTTGTTCACTGAAGACATTTGGGTTTAAGATCAAAAGATGAGTATGAGACGAGAGTTCAGAATTTTAAGCTTTCATTTTCTGGTATTCACATCTAGATGCGTTAAACAACTTACAACTGTTTGTATTAGACCACAGCATTATTAGGTGAGTTAAAGTAATGAAACAACTAATCTTAAAATAAATAACATTTAATATTTGGTGGCATAACCCTTGCTTGCAATAGCTGCCTCAAGCCTGCGACCCATCGACCAAACTGTTGCATTCTTCATTTGTGATGCTATTCAAGGCTTTTACCGCAGCTTCTTTCAGTTCTTGTTTTGAGGTGTTTCTCCCTTCAGTCTCCTCTTAAGGAGGTGAAATGCATGCTCTATTGGGTTGGCAAATTTCAATCTGGTCTTCCGATTCTTTCTGCTTATGAGTGGTTTGCATCTTGTGGTGAGGCCTCTATATTTCTGCTCTCTGAGTCTTCTTCCAACAATGGATTGTGATACCTTCACCCTTGCACTGTGGAGGTCATTGGTGATGTCACTGATGTTTTGGGGGTTTTCTTCACAGCTCTCACTATATTTCTGTTTTCCTTGGCCAACCTGTTCGACGTCTGTTGCTCAGTACAGCAGTTTCTTTCCTTTTCAGGACTTTCCAAATTGTTGTGCTTGCTATGCCCAATGTTTGTCCAATGGCTCGGGTCGATTTTCCTTCTTTTCTCAGCTTGACAATGGCTTGCTTTTCTCCCATAGACAGCTCTCTGGTTTTCATGTTGGTTTATCCTCTTTAACAGGAAATGCAGTCTTTATAGGTTTGAACCAAGGATGAAAACTTAGACTAGTCATGCGGAGCTATTTAATGTTTGGACAATCAACCTAAAAAGGCAACACCTGGGCAACAAGAAACATCTGTCAGTCACATGTTCCAATACTTTTGCTCACTTGAAAAATGGGTGGGTTCAAACAAAGGGTGATATGTCCTGAGTTGTTTAACACATCTAGATGTGAATACCACAAAATGAGAGGTGAAATTCTGAACTCTTGTCTCATACTCATCTTTTGATCTTAAACCCAAATGTCTTCAGTGAACAACAAATCAAAGGAATTTGCCTTACCGTTCCAATACTTTTGGAGGGGACTGTATAACTTAAACAAGGCACTGTAGCTCATTGTTACTCATAGCATTTGATTATTTTACACAGGCAAACAATATTTTAGTGTGAATATTCTACAGCCACTAACCAGATTCAGAATCAGAGGAAAGACAGGCAGATGACCCTGAAGGTGTTACAGATGCAGCAGGTGCCTCAACATTGCTCATCTGTCAAATAAAAATGGTGACTTAAAAACAAACGCACTTTTAATGGTGTTACTCAATTCAAGAAACCAAACACTGGTGCAAAATCAAAACAGGAGCTACAACATTTGATTTTACTCACGCCAAATGGAAATGCTACCTACTTACTGGAGATGACATAAGCTCACCTGCCCTATTGGAGGCCTGTTCATGGTCTTGCGGGCCCGGTGGATTTTGGGTGGGGCAGGAGAGACAGAAGGCGATGAGGAGGCTGTGACAGAGGAGGAAGAGGAAGAAGAGGAGGAGGAGGAGGAGGAAGAGGAGGAGGAGGAAGGAGAAGGTGCCAGGACAGATTTACTGCTACCGGGCCCAGAAACACTCATCTTTGCACGGCCAGGGGACAATGATGAAGACGTAGAAGGAGAAGAGGAGGGCAATGATGGAAGGGACTTTGCTGCGTGTCCTGTAAAGAGGTATAAGCAATGACTGTGAATTGCTAGGAAAATATCAACATGTTTATCTTCCACAGCAAATGAGATGCTATCAGCTGTCTCAGTCATTTTCATATTTAGTGTTGTCCAATGTTAATATCCTACTTAATATATTATTTACTGCTGAATTTATGCATCTGGATCAAATAAGCTTGCTCAAATGAAGAACCCCCGCTTCAGCAACATCAGTGAAATCCAACTGGATCCAAGTCTTACCTGCAGCAGGTTTGTTTGGGGAGGAAACAGGTGACCATTTCTCACCATCCTCTCCAGCTCTGAAAGCGTCCTTCCCAGGCTGCTGAGATGACAACATTGATGGCATCCCACCCATGGGCTCTATCTTCTTGGCAGCAGCAGCTGTGATGGAGGGTGCATTATCTGGAAAAGTTCTCCATGAGTTTATACAGGTAGTACTGACAAAAATCACACATTAATTCTCTGCATTTGTGTATCTAAAATGCACAGATTTCAAACATTAGTATCTCAATCCATGAGCTGTAGCGCACCTTCCTTCACTTGTTGACTTGGTCCGGCTAATGACTCTGCTGGTGTTTCTGAGTCATTTCCTTCAGGAGGCTCCTGGCAACAACAACAAATAGCATGAAATATATTGTCAGAAAATATTACTCCGTCCCTTTAAAGGGTGACTTATAACTGACTGATAACCAACATAACTACTAGAGCTATGGATTCATTGCACATTTATTCATTTATAGCACTGAAACTTCAGGACTGTGATCTTCTACTGTGTTTTTGAGAATGAATCAGAAGAAACACAGAGGTATACTTGCCTACATTCACAGACCACTAATATAAACTAAGTACATGTTACACCCTGCTGTTCTCATAGGTATATTGCAACATACATCTCCAAAAGCCCACACTTTAGAGATGGAGCATGTTGTGTTAAAATATATATTCCCTAAACTTGGGTACCCCAGGCCTGACAGTGTCTTTACATTTACATTTATTCATTTACCTGACGCTTTTATCCAAAGCGACTTATTGCTATATATATCAGAGGTCGCACGCCTCTGGAGCAACTAGGGGTTAAATGTCTTGCTTGGGGACACATTGGTGTCTCACAGCGGATTCAAACCCAGGTCTCTTACACCAAAGGCATGTGTCTTATTCACTGCGCTATCACCACCATATGTGCAGGACTGCAGTTCTGATATCAGCTGTTCTCATTATCACTGGCTAGACCAGTGCAACACTTAACAAAAAAACTTAACAGCATTACAATGGATAACTACCATGAATAAAGACAGATAACTCTTGTTTGTGGGTACATTGACTCTATAACAGAGCTGCCTGGTTAAACATTAGGACACTAGAAACCAAGAACATACTGTCAGTGAAAACCCATTTCCCATGAAGGAAACAAAAATCATACGAATCTTAGTGTTTTCTTCTCAGTTAAATGAGAATCCTAATGGTAACGTCTGTTACCGTGTTTGTAACTGCCAATATTCTGTGTTTAGCCTTTGGTCGCATTTACATGATCAATTTCTGCCTTCTGTACTCCAAAATAAACTTCTCAACCAATGGCTGATGTTGTCTGATGTTACGTCAGGTACCGCCATCAGTCAGTCGGCCCATTCATGCTTTTTACACAATCCAAAGTAAAGCCCTTCCGACAACAATAGTCCGTAAGATAAAAAAAGGAAGGTACATTTCTACACATTAACTGCTTAAACCCTTTCAGCATGGGTTACCTACTTACTACACAGTTCACAGAAAGGACAGTTTGTCTCAACATTTTGCTTTGACAACAGCGAATAATACACAATCCCCATAACGCGATTAAAAGCAACGCAAGACGATGACTTTATAGTGCTGTAAACAGCCAAGGAATCGATAAAATAAGCAATAAAACACCATCAAAAGCTAACGTTAGTTAACACACAACTGTTAAGGCTAACGTGGCTAGTAGTGTAGCACAGCTTGCAACAAATACCTCTTATAATCACCAAATACAATTATTTTGCATTGTGGCACGCTGCAGCTTTAGTGACAGTGTGTTGCTATGTAGGCTAATGTGTTTACAAGCGGGTAAACTAACGTAAATGTCATTATCATGCAATTGTGTGCAGCAGTGGCTTTGCTAGCTAACGTTACCTTTGTCGTTGTCTCAGATGCCGACATGTTTCCCGATGAGCACCAACGTATGTAAACGTGGCTCGTCATCGCCTCTAGCCCCGCCCCCTGTGTCATTGATTTAAAAACTGCTGATCAGAAGTCAGTGTGCGTGCGCTGATTTTACGGCTAACCGCAGGCAGAAACCTCCCACAAAAACCGATTCAAAGTCAGTTCAGTCCTCTGAAAGACCAGTGGGGTCGTATTTGTTGTCACGGGATGCGCTTCCTCCAAAAAAGAGGCCAAAAAGTAAACAGAAATCGAGGTAGCTTAGTAGCTAATAGGGATGTGGAAGTACTGTTGGCTAACGTTAATTAACGACTCCTTAACGGTAAACGGTTGTCCAGTTGAAACAAACCCAGGCTTGTTTTTTTAACAAGCCCAGAAGATATTTAATAAAAAGGAAAGGGAAGGTGAGTTTGACGAAATCTGGGGAGCTTTTGTTTGTTCTGTGGTAGCTAACTACTAGCTAACGTTAGCTAACGTCCAGAGAAGTGGGTAACGTCAACATAGGCCAGAAGGAAAGGAGGGATAAGTGGTGGAAATAAGTTGTGTGTTACGATCGATTTTAACCTCTTACAGCCAATCACAGCAGTCTAATAAATAGTCTAATTTTATTGCAGACTCTACTACAAATTAAATACATGTAATGTTGTTAGTCATTCTTGGTAGCTTCTTTCACTCCCATATATGATACTTTTCATTGTCCCTCATGTCAAAGCTGGCGATTTATCGATATAGTGATGTGAGACTAGATACCACCTAAGGGCCAATTACTATATTAAATTGCTACAAAATGTTGTGAGTAATAGATTTGTGATACAGCTAACAATTTGTCTCTTCTTAGTCTTAAAGTAGAATTACAGATTATACAGTCCTCTGAAAATAGGTTATTTCTGTTCAACATGAATAAATTGCCAATAATTGGTTCTTATTGTTTAGCCGTCATATAAACGTTACTGTTATTTTTCTCACAGGCCATATAACTGACACAGCAGCAACGTCAAGCACACTTGTTGCATCTTGAGGCCTAAAGCCCAAAACTGAGTGAGATGTGCAGCAAGCGTATCTGCTGAAAATCAGATTCTTGCCAACATGTTAGCTAAGTTTACAGTGTATGCGTGAAACTTGTTCCTAAAAAAAAAATAACCCAGATCTCAAATTGGAAGAAAAACTAGCTTTATATCATGCTTTGCACCCTGAGCATTTGACTAGACTCCAACTATTCAAACATAAACCCTGTGTGAGCTCTTCATAAACTGTCTTGAATCTTTGTGTTTTTCAGGTCAGGTGGCCATGACATGAGCAACTTTTATTTGCGTCGTCATTTTGCATTTTCTGTCAGCATTTTGATCGTCTAATTTAAAGATTACCTCACTGAGATAGTTGTCATGAATACTTCGGCATTTCTCCTTTAGACGAGATGGAAATGCTGTGTTTCCGGTTACCGGGCCACGGGGACACGACCCTGAACCACATGAATTCACTGAGGTCTCGTCAGCACTTCTGTGACATCACCATTGTGGCCAGCAACAACCAGACATTCAAGGGACATAAGGTGGTGCTGGCTGCCTGCTCGCCCTTCTTACGGGACCAGTTCCTCCTCAACCCGTCCCCGAAGCTTCAGGTAGGCAGACTACCAGATCATCATGTCTGACTTCAACGTTCATCTGCTGAGTAAAAATGTTGCTTCTTTATGTTCCAGGTGTCGATGCTGTACAGCTCCACAGTGGTGTGTGATCTCCTTCAGTCTTGTTACACTGGCGTCCTGCAGTTTAACCCAGAGGAGATTGTCAACTACTTGACCGCTGCCAGCTACCTACAGATGGAGCATATTGTGGAGCGCTGCCGAGGAGCCCTGAAGAAGTATGTGCAGCTGAAGAACCCTAGTTCCGTGAAGGTCAGTAATCAAAAACAATTATTTTAAATGGCTAACAACAACAGATTTTCTCTAGTTGATACATGTTGTGCAGTGATGGAAAATATTACCCCCAGTTTGATTCTTTGGATTTTTGCATATTTTTAAGAATTAATTTGATTGTACGTTTATAGACAGTCAAGTTTGTGTCTTTCATTTTCCTGTAGCATGTAAATCAAAGTCTTCAATGTAACATAAATCTATAAACTTGTGTTTGTTCTAAAATTTTATCTTAACCATGGGTTAGTACGTATGTGTTTTATTATTTTGTGGGGTTTTTTGTATGTTGCAAAAGTAGTAATTTTCTAATTAACATCTTCATCTTTTTTTCCCCCCCTACATTTTGTACACACAGTAACACGTTCTCAGCACTTTCATAGCTTGCAGTGATGCAGTTTTTATAGGTTCTTAGCAATCCCACAATCTGTTTCTCCCATTTCTTCCTCTAGAAGACTTCAGAGGAGGGCCAAACTCGACCGGTGATAGTCAGTGGAAGCATTCATTCTTTTCCATCCTCATCTCCTCCCATGGACAGAACCTCCCCTGTGCACCTAAACAGTCCTGTAGTACGCTCAGTGGAGGAAAACAACGGCGATATGTCTGCACAGGGCAGCAGTCAACAGCTCGATGACAGTCCCTTGGTGGATCAGCCATGTATCAAGGTTTGTACATGAAAGAACAACCTGAGAACAGGGTAGAATTTAAAAATCTACAGTATTCATGTTAATCAGAATTAGCTTAAATGGCCAGGTATGTGTATACATATGAGGAATTTTACTCCGGTCTTACTCTCGATGTACATACACAGAAACAAGCATAAACCAAAAAAAAAGTCTGTTCATCAGTCAAAAGGAATTTAATCAGCAACAATTTTAGTAGCCATTGAAAGTGATTTACCAAGACAGTGATGCAGAATATTTGCTCAGATGCACTGCTATCACTGTACATTTGCTATCTTATTATTTTGGACTGTAGGTTCGACAGAGCAAGCGAGTTTGGGAAAGTGTGGGAATTTCGATTGACACTTTTTACAGTTTTTCAAAACTTTATCGACACTACACACTTTACTCAGTCTTCATTCATGTTACAGGTTAATACATCAGATGAGGAGGAAGAGGTCAGACAGGAGGACTATGATGTCTTCAGAGTGTACGTCTCCGAAGAAGAGCAGATGAACAGAGAGAGGGAGGAGGAGAGAAGAGCTCCCTCTGACGGACCTCAAGATGCGTGTTACCCAGAGACAGAAGGTGTCATGATTGGAGGGGAAGGTGGCGAATATGACTTGAATCCGGTAGAAGAAGATCTCAGCACTGGGGGACTTTCAGTAGATGGGCTCCGCGCTTTCAGGCGCAGGCTGTCTGACCCTAAAATTGGCCGGGGCCGAGGGAGAGGCAGGGGGCGGGGTTTTAAGAGGAGAAGGTGGGTGTCAGCACAGGACAAAAGGCCTCCAGGCCTGGATCTCCACCAGGATTTGTGGTATCTTGCAACTGCAGGGATGGGAGGGAGTTTCGGGCTAGACTACACCCAAGAAGGGCTTAAGACAGGAAGCTATGTCTCAGTTGAGCTCCCAGGGTTAGACTTCAGCATGGGCGATGCTCAGGGAGAAAAGGTCTCACCAATGGATGCCAGTAGTTTGACCCAGTATGCCCCAGAGGAGTCTAATTGTTCTGCTCGTGAGGGGAGTTCAGGTTTGACAGCTGTTGGAACAAATGAGGGAGGGGACGAGTCTGTGGCAGTGGTGGGATCCACTTCAAGTGTAGCTGGGCCTGTAATCTGCGAGCACTGCGGCGTGACGTTCCCCTCGGCCCACTCCCTAGCCATCCACTCCCGCTCCACTCACTTGCTGTATGCCTGCCCCTGCTGTGGCAAACACTTTCACCACTCCGCCAACCTCACCAGACACATGGCCGTGCACCGAGGCGCTGGCAAAACCCACCAGTGCCCCCTGTGTTACAAGACTTTCACCCAGAAATCCACACTGATAGACCACATGAACCTCCACAGTGGCGAGCGGCCACACCGCTGCGCATACTGCCACGCCCGTTTTGCCCACAAGCCTGCCTTACGACGGCACCTGAAGGAACAACACGGGAAAACCACGGGTCAGAACTCCCTACATGAACAGGAGGAGAGGGAGAGAGCGAGAGGAGTCGCTGGAAATATACGAGAGGAAGAGCAAGAATGCCTGGTTACTGAACGAGTGTCATAGGCCAGACCAGTAAAGTGTCTGAACACCTGAAGCTCATCGGGCTCAACAGCTTACTACAGTTAAATTTGGCTGAGTGAAGAACTGTGAGATCAGTCTGTTGGCTGTAAACTGACTATGAGGCCTTAAAAATCTCAGACTGTGTACAATAAAGATCCTTTTGCATTCAAACATGTATAAAATATAAAGAACGGGTGATGGATGTGGGTTAAAATGACTGCGAGTGCGTAGTCCTCCACTGTCTTACACTGATAACGGAAGTTTCACAACAGACATGTGAACTTCTCATAGAAGGAAAAGCACATGTTTTACTAGTAACATTAACGATGTGCCCCAGTGAGTCATGATAGGGTGACAGCACGCACCATAACACGATCCTGAAGCAGAAGCGGCTAAATATAATTCAGCCAGCATTCATTTTATTATATACACCTGTGCTTTTCCTACTGTGACAAGCGTCGTCTGTGACAAGACGCCTGTGGATTTTCATGTTTCAGAGAACTGTTTGACTCACTGTAATCTTCAGCGTGAATATACGTATGTAATACATGTTCAGTGCTATGACTGACCGCAGGTTAAAGAAAAGATGATGTAAATAAAATAAAATGGAAAGCAAGTCTTTTATGTGTATTCAAATGCATTATATTAGTACACCCACACAGGCATTTTTAATTATGTTGTCTAATTAGACCTATTGTCTTGAAAGTGTCTCCCAGTGATATCTTTCTAGCTCTGTTAGTTTTGCTGCACTTGTTAGGGCTGTTAACATGATGAGTAGATGGATTACAATTACAAAGACAGGAAGAGTACAGGAAATGGAAACAGGAGGTTTGAGTAGGAACCTAAGATTAAAATGTGAGGCACATGTCACGATAAAACATCACGTAACATTTCATGTGCGCCTGAGATCCAGTGGAGGATACCTCACATTGTTTTTGTCATTTAATGCTAAACATTACTTTTGTGTAGCCTTAGTATGTCTGTCAAATACAACAACTATAACAATAATCTCTTGCATATTAATCATTTATATCAGATAGATACATAATCCCAGTGGGGTATTAATTTAAAATAATATAATAACATATTTACTGTACCTACTGTACATGTGTAATGCTGTGCAGTGGTAGTAAAATTTAAACCTGGTAGTGCAAAATGAAATGCAAGTATACTTTAAAAACAGTCATCTGGAAAGATTGTTTTTTTGTTAAACATTGGTAATCAAATATAAGGCTTTTGGTGTTGAAAAGAGCTTCTTTTGGTCCGTTTGGACATCTTAGAAGTGGTCAGAAAGCACATACACCTGTAAACAAGTAGCAAAAGATGCAGGGGCAATAACACTTTAAATCCTCCATGGTAAAATGTATTCATAAAACAATTGGTCCCATATCGTTCACAGTTAAAGAAAAGTTTTATTTGTTTTGGTTTTACCTGAGTTGATGTGTAATCCCTATCTTAGTCATGCCCTGCCCCTTTTTGGGTGAAAGCAGCCAAAGGTCGCACTCATATGAGGTATTTTTGCTTTTAATATTACTGTAGTCACAGTTCAGATCCTAAAGTTTTAGACTAAAATCATATTTACACATGATTTGCACTTAAGTCTACTTATTTGTTTTTAAATATATGTAGACTTATTGACTCTCCTTAAATGTTTGTATTTTATCTTGTGTGTTTATTCAGTTATTCAGCCATGACCCATAACTATATTAATTATAATTTAAAATTAATACAGGCTCATTTGTCCGTTCCTTGTATTGCCTACTTTTAAATATTATTTTTTAAGTTAGGTTGTTCAAAGATGTTTGGCACATACTCTAAGAGGAATGCTTATTAGGTCTCTTGTGATGAAGTTGTTTTTGAGTTGTAAATTGAGGTCACTGATTGTGGATTGCCACCAGGCAGTGTGTATAAATAAAGGCTATAACTGACACTTCAATGTACCTTAAAAAAACAGAAGTTCACTGGAAGCTTAGAGTGCAGCTTGCAGGGAGAAATAGTTTTTTTGCATCTTTTGAGGTTACAAGCAATTGATATTACAAAAGGGATAGATGTGTATCTGATTTTTTGTTATGCATTAATAAAAGCACTTCATCTGTAGATAAAGTTTACAAGGAACACTTCCACTCAGTGTATAACTATGCTGCCTTTAATCTATCTGGATTATTGAGGTTTTCATACCTATGTACTTTTACGTTTGACACTGACCCAGTTTGACTGTCGTATTGATGCAAGGCTCATGAAACTCTGACTCAAGGTAACAATGTGTGAATACTATTTATTGACCTCCACAAAACCGTATCTCTAGTTTCATGAGCAAAACTGCCACACACAGCATCACATGTCAACCATGTGATTGTAAGCGATCTGATCCAAAAGACAACAGATAATTTTGTCTTTATCCCGCAGGACAGACACTTTAAGCAGCTGTCTAACAGGTCATTAATACAAAAACAGGAAAAGCTACATGCCAAAATAAAAACCATAATAATTGTTTTCGTCACAGGAAATCTTCACTGTACACGACTTGGTTCCTCTTGTCCCTGTAGGAGCCTTTGGTGCTGTTCTGCACAGCTGTGAAAGAAGAGAGACATTGTTGAAGGTTAATCCATGCTGTGCAGACACACGGAGAGTCTGCTCATTGTCTAAACAAACAATAAGAGTGCCGTCTTTACCCAGTGAAGCCCACACAGATTTGCCAGTGGCAGCATCCAGCATGGGCTGCTTCCTGGCGATGCTGACTTTGATGTGAATGTCTCCAACCGTGCTTCCATTCAACTGTGAGAAGAAAAAAAAAAACCCAGCAAGGTGAGTTTGGACGTTGTGGTGGTCCGCTTTATATACAGAGTCTACATGAGCAGGGCAACGCCTTCAGGGTGTCTTCTAGAAAGAATGACTAGATTTCATTAATTTCTTTTATTAAGACTACAAGTTAAAGATAAATGTACTCAAGCACAAATGGTTACTTCTTGACCATGGAAATATAATATTATAAATTTCTCAATTTACTTTAATTTAAGTAAATTATCTCACATGTCACAAACCTTATTTTACATTTTAAACTAACATTTAACTGTTTAACCACCTACAAGGGACACACGATTTTGTTTGTTTTGGAAAACTGGACAACACAATACCAGCTAGAGTTGCAACGATCACTCAGTTTTGTCAAACTAAAGATTTATTATTTGGCATTTGGAATATGATTGGCGGCATTTACAAATTTACTTAGATTGGGATGGACAAATAGAGGTGTAGCCTTCCCTGACAGAACACAACTACTATACTACTTCAGTACATTTTCTTACATTTATTACAATATACATAAAATTAATTTACTCTAAAACCCAAACTTACATTGTACTACACTGCATGCTGTACACACTTTTCATTCATTTCTACTTACTGTTTTCATGGTCAGCTGACTGGCTGCTCTACTCTAAATTACATGTACATTCTATTTGAAATTTGCTTACTGAATCCTGTTTTTTTGCAGTATTTTTTTAACAGAGGAAGAAGATCATTTATTTAAAATTACATAGGGTAATACCAACCTCAGCTACAGCCTGGTCTGCAGACTCCATCTTTTCAAACGTGATAAATGCGCAACTACAAAGAGAAACGCAAATCACCACCATGTTAGAATAAAACAGAAGCAGCAGAAGACAGTGTAGCGTGTCATAAGACAGCAACACATTCATAACAGTAGGCAGTGATGACCACTATGTGTACTTGTTCCATACTTGCGTGGGTTATCCATGGAGAGGTCGATGATGTTTCCATGTTGAGAAAAAGCAGTGCGCAGGCTGTCCTCTGCGAGCCCAGAGCCATAAACATACACCGTATTCCCCTTTCGCACCCCTCTCCGCTCTGGGTATGAATCTGACCCTGAGAATGAAAACATACGGAGATAGAGAAAAATCATGTGCGTGTCGCAGCATGCCATTTGACAACCACTCTGCACTGCATTGTTGTTAACTGATGGTACTATTCCTAGAGATATATGCATCTCTGCCTTCCTTGTGATGGACCTTTCTTTGTATAATTATATAATCTCCTTGTATAACCACAGAAATTGGTTACTCACGTCTGAACGGTCCATCTCTTTCTCTGTCACGTTCCCTGTCGCGCTCTCGATCCCTGTCTCTGCTTCGATCTCTTTCTCTGTCTCGTTCCCGGTCTCTGTCCCTGCCTCGGTCTCTATCCCTTTCCCGGTCCCGGTCTTTTTCTCTGTCCCGCTCTCTATCTGGCTCTCGGTCGCGGTCTCGCTCTCTGTCCATTTCACGGGTTGATGACATGCCGCCTCCGTCATCCTCATCCCGGTAACGGTTGCTTGAAGTGACGAAGCTGCAGGGACACACGGGAAAAATTATGTTACACCCACGTATACTCACTGTCAGTGTCTAAAACAGGTTGTTTTGCTATATATATATATATATATATATATATATATATATATATATATATATATATATATATATATATATATATATCATGATTTTTGACATTACCTCTCATAAAGAGATTTCCTGTGGGATCTCTTCCCAGACTAGAAAAACACAAATATGAGAACATCAGATAAAGCCATACGTTTGGTTTTCTGTCCAACACAGAGTACTACAGCTTTTTCCTCAACCTCTTTGGTCATTTTTGGATATTTAAATTTGTGAAACAGTGTCTTGATCTGAAAATCTGCATAATATGGCATATGGGTCTTTTTTTAACACTACCACTTTAACAGAAATTCTAAATAAGGTATTAAACTCTAAATGCAAAACACTTGCTTGATTGTGTCACAGCACAATTGCAATCAGCCGCAACATTTTTTTCCAGTAATTGAAAATCTGGGAAATTGATGCTACACAAGAAAAGAAAAAATCCTAGAAACATAACATTGGAGGTGCCAACTGCAACAAAGCAGTCATGTTTGCATGTTTAAAATCTACTATACCTCAGGTTGTTCTTCCTCTGTAGAGAAACTCCTTTGGAAAGGTAAGAAAGCAGGAACTGGGCCTTTCTCAGGGTCCTGCAGCAGATAAAAGAGCAACAATAAAAAATTAAATAAAATAATAAATAAACAAAAAAAGCAGCAACAACACAGTTTAACATCAGCCAAAACAACCCTATCTAACTAATGATAGCTCACCTTGAGTTTGATTTCCAGCATTCGAGAGCGTTTAAAGCCAGAGTTCTTGTTCTCCGATTTGATGGCACTGATGGCACCTGACTTGATCAGCATCTTTGCTTGCTCTGTTGCCGTTGCAGTGTCAACAACAGGCTGGTCCGACAAAGCTGTTGTGAAGGAAATTGTAACATGAGTAAAAGTATACCCAGTGTTTTACGTACATTAAGGTAGTTTGATGAGCAATTAACAAAATACATGCTGCTTTTGCAGAAATAAAATTAGGGCCTCTAGAAGCCCAAATAGGACACAAATACGCAGAAAAGTCACATTTGTTTTTTATTTTGTCCAGTTATTTGTGAGTATTTATTGTCAGAATATTTATGTTTCCCTTCATCACTGTGTTTACTCCTGTCACTGTGTTGTATTTGCTTTTTAAATTCATCTGAACATAGACACATAGTCTCAACTATGTGTTACTGTATGAATTAAAGTGAATTGATTAAATTATACATATTTGGGATGCTGCAAGTAAACACAAGATGTATTTTAGTTAGAGTAAAGACAAACGCTGAAGTAATAATTCAAATGGCGTTAAATGCACTTACTCCGTTTCAAACCACTCTGGTTTGTCTGGTTGGTTGAACTCTGCTTCTTCAAGGCAAGCAGCGCCTTTTTCTGAAAAGATAGTGAAAAAAACTTTCATTGTGTCACTCTGAGTTACACGCTCCATAACTTAGGGAATAAATTCATCACTTGCCATTAAAACAATGTGATATTGTTACACATTAACGTGTTTATAAGTCTTATATTTTATACACTGCCATGTTGTTAGAGGATGTGACAGCTTCCTTACCTTTTTCTTAAGTTTCGCATATTTCTTTTGCAGGGCCTCCTCTTCCTCCGTCAGGGAACTTGGAAACACCACCATGACGGCACCAGCTACAATGCAGACCACTGCATTAACAGCTGGAAACAAATACAAGTTTATAACACAAACAAACATATGCATTAACGGATTGGCGTGTTTCCTCACCGCTGCTGGGTAACTTAACAATAAAACCAGAAACCAAAACACGACTTCCTTCCGATATAATACAAATGTAGCTAATTTAGGCCACACAAAAAACAAACTAACAGCATGCCAGAACAATAAAACATGTGTGGCCTCTTAAAAGTACATTACAGTAATGTCTATTTGCGTTTATCGTTTTAATTAATTTACCAAATTCAAACGGTGGTGGACACAGCTCTCAAAAAAACACACCGACGCGTAAATATGACGTGTGGTGGCGTCACGTGGTGCTTTTTTTTTTTTCTTTTGCAACAAAAATGTAAACATTTAGCAAAGCGCACAAAACTTCATCCTTCTTGAATATAAGGATTAATTGTATGTTGCGGACCGTTTGCAGTTAAATTTTTATTTTTCTATTGTAGCTACTAGCTTAGTTAGTAGCTAACGTTACTTCCGCTTGTTAATTTTGGCAACTTCCGAGGCGACAGTTGGAACTAGTTGGTGGCAACTTTTCGCTTGCAAGTGGGGACATGGACAAAATAGGTATGTTGTGGCTTATCAAATGTATAGCCAGCGGAGATATATATCTATCTATAACGTTATGTATAATTAAAACGCGTTTCATCTTGCTAACGTGCCTCACTCGTATAGCTTGTGTGATGATGTAGCCAATAGCTTACTGTCAATCAGTGCTCCATTCAGCAGCTTCACGGCTTTATATATTTAATAATTAGCTAAATAGCCAATCACAGTAATATTGTCTTCAGTTTTTCTTGAACACACACAGACAGTTAAAGAGTTAAGTTAGCATTAGCGTTAACAGGGCATATCTTCCTCGTTGCACCCTCCACTGATGGGGACTAGTCTCATTGTGTTTCTTTAGTCCATTCATGCTCTGTGTTGTTCCTCCCTCCTCTCTGCAGATATGCCCCCTATGGGGCCCATGGACCTGCCGCTGTCCCTGCTGGAGATGGGATGCTCTGGCAGGTTTGAACTAATCACACACCCAATGCCTGGCCAGCCTTTGCCTCCACAGAGCACGGTCAGCATGTTGCAGGATGACTTTGTACATGTATTGAGATACTTTATGCACTTACTATACTCCACTACAGTTCAAGGGAAATATTGTACTTATTACTACATTTTACAGCTGTATTTAATAGTCCAAAGACATATAATTAGCTCATAAAATATGATGTATTATTATAGATTAATCTCTAACACTGTGCAAAGTAGCTAAAACTGCTGCATCATGCAACAACAATGAAAATGCTGCTTACACATAAATGTGTATATGTATTAAATATCCAGTAATATAATACAACATTCACAGAGGTATTTCTGCACATTAGGACTTTTACTTTTGATTCCTTAAATATACTTTGCTGATATACTTCTGTATGGTATTGCTGGACCTGTACTCTTTATGGTGTATTTTTACTTTTTTTTGTTGCTACTTTTACATCTGCAATTAGGGCATTTAGCAGACGCTTTTGTCCAAAGCGACTTACAATAAGTAAAGCATCTGAATGCTATTTCCACCACTGCTGAGATTTCATACTTCTAATTTGTGTCTATAAGTTACACCTATTCACAAATGTGTGTTTTATAAACAAATGTCTTAATTTCATTTGTATTGTATTATTTTTTTGGCATTATGCAGATAGGTAGATGGATATAGTACATTACTATTATAGTAGATATTTGACAGTGATTATCGGAAAAATGTCGGCAATTAATGTGTTGTAAAGGAATCTGATCTTATCTTTCCCTCCACAGCTCCCCCATGGGCTTCCTCCCACCAGCCTCAGCCTGGAGACAGAAGTAAAGAAACAGTTTTTATGGGACCCTGCCTGGCTTCCTATACACGACACAGACTTTGCCTTCCAGAAGTTTCTCAAGTATGTATTCCAGTAAACAGTTTTATTAGTACTTGTTAACACTTTGACTGTGTCAATAATTAATACGAGAATAATTAATATGAGAATATACACCAAAATGTGTTTTAAGAGTATATACAGGTTGCTGTTACTTGGTATTGTAGACAATGTAATGTGCATGCTGTAATTTAAAGTTTACAGTAACTGATTTTGATAAAACCATAAAAAAAATTGGTTTGCTCCTGTATTTGAAGATTTATTAAACAGTAAGTGGAAGTAATTAGATGCAAGACAAACTAAAGAAATAAGAAACAGAATCTGGTGTTAAAACAATAAATAACAGAATTATAACTAATCCTGAACAGATTAAGTGAAGTCTGTCATTACTGAGATTTTTTTAAATTACCACATGTATCTGAAGACGATGTAACTGTTGTGTCGTGGTCTTCACCAGGGTGACTAAGAGAGAGGTTAATGTCGACTCTCTACTCAACTGCACTTCGTCTCCACTTCACTCTGGTCTCTCTGTTGTCAGAGATCCAACCACAGGGATGCTGCTGGACTTCACAGAGGTAGATAATCAAGTTATCATTTTAGTCATTTTTTAATTTTTTATTTAACATCTTTAGGTTTAGGACTGTCTGTCATATCAAAAAAGGAATTTCAATATGTAAAGGTTCCCTTTGGAGAATTGTGATGGGCTATTTTCCTATTATATATTTTATAGACCATACAACTAATTGAATGAATCAAGAATAATCGATAATGACAATAATCGTTAGTTGCAGCCTTAATGTCTATGTTAAAGTTGTTAAGATGTCTCTATTGCATATTTAAGAATCCACCCATGTCAGTTTAATTACCGTATAAAGCATCCATTGGGTTACTTTAAGCAAAGTTTTTCAGCTACTTTTTTTCCCCTTTAGGTGTTACTGGAGAACACGGGCCTGTCAGCAAAGAACTCCCTTTCATTTCAACGCCAACCCGGGCCACCTTCAGAGAGCCTTCGAGGAAGTAACACCAACTACCCCTTCCTCCCCGGTGAAATAGATTCATTCAAAGCTTTTTCAATACAGTAATTAGTTGACATGTTTGCAAGTGAGGTATTTTCGCTTTGTCCTGATTATTTTCAAATATATTTGTACATAGGAGGAATGGAGGAGCTTAGTCTGGACCAAATCCAGAAGAAATCTCAGCTGGAGGAGGACATAGACTTTGAGAATGGTGATTTTTAAATTTCAACATGCATTGTTGTGAAACAATAGGGAGACTTCTGTTGTCATTTCGTATCTTTATGGTTGAATTTGTAATTTCCCCCCCTATAGATTTACTCAAAGTCCCACCTGGACTTAAAGCTGGGATGGACTTCACTGACAAAGGTTAGATAACATACACTCCTCTGCAAAAACTCCTACAGGGGTTAAAATATATTTATATTTTCATTCATTCATTTATTTTTGTCTTCTGAAGATGCCAAGATAGCAAAGGCAGAGGTCAACCTCATGTCCCTCCTGTCAACATTGGATGACATCGCTGATTTGCAACTTGAGGAAGAGGAGAAAGTAGAAGGCAAAGGAAGTGAAGAAGCTCTCAAACTACCCAGAACAAACAGCCTTGAAGACCTGGGCATCAAGGTACTGCAGTTTGATTGTTTACTACTAGAGGTAAAAATGCATTTTGTCCTCTAAAATGAGAACCAAGTCAGTTTTTTTTATTTATTCTTTCAGATATTAAATATATATCACTGTGTTCTTTTGTGTTAAATTGAGCAGTTTTGAAAATAGATCTGGATGCTGGGAGGATTGCTGGTGGTTGAGTTTTGGCTTTTGTGTTAATTAATTGCGTGTTGTCTCAAACTAACTGCATGATCACATTGCAAAGCTAACATTAGAAAAAGAAAGATGAAAATAGAGTCCACAAATACATTTAAGATGAAACACTGTATGTCTTCAACATGCAAATATAGAGTACCGCCTAGAAACTGTGTATATTAATCAAAATGTAAACATGTTTGCAATTTACACTTTGACATATTTGTAGCCCAGAGCTTAAGCGTATATAAGAGCACTGTCTTAAAATAGCATTTTGTTTTAAAATTAACAGTTTTTTCAGAATATGTACAATGTTTATTGCTGGGATAAGATAAGATTTACAAATGCAAAAAAAACAAAAAGTCATGCCAAATTAGGTGTGTGACGTGATTCATGAGAGTCAACCTTTTTTGCCAACTTTTATTATTCTACATGAAGTAAAATGATGCTGTATGGGTAGAATGTGTCTTTCCCAAACTACAACAATACTGTAATAGAAAAAACCTAAACATCCAGCTTTGCTGTTGCCTCTGGCTAAACCTCAACTGTACTGAAATCTGCTTCTCCTCCTCTGTCTTCAGGATGCTGTGTCATCTTCGGCTCCCCCAGCGAAAGGAAGAGATGAGAAATCAAAGCCAAATGAGAACCCAGAGGAAAATAAAAAATGGGCCATCCCTGTCAACATAACTGCACCCTGCGATGATTTCTATAAACGCATCCCCAACCCAGCTTTCAAGGTGGTTATTCTATTAATCATCACAAACATTAGCACTAATCAAACCTTAACTACAGTGGTGTAGGCTAATATCATAAAACGGTTTTATTTGTAAAACAGCTGAATCTCAAATAATAAACTATCTAAGCAGATCATCCAAATCAAATGTAACCTGTAAATATATTATACTAACATTATGCTATTGTTGTAATGTTAATACAATGTTTATAATATTTATTAATACACTAATTTATACCTGTACTCTTCCATGTTGTGAATATATTTTGTTTATCAAATGGTCAGAAATAACAAGAAAATGCATATATTTCGGTCATAAGGTAAGTCAGTACCTTTACTGAACGCGTACCGAACATGGTTACTGTCATGCAAAGTCACCCCCCAAAGGTCCATTCTGAGCCAGGAATAACCCTGTTTGTTTATATGCAGTCTCCAAAATGTTACACTTCCCTCCCTATTTATTTATTGTCTCTGTGTTTCTTTGTATATGTGATGAATGATCACATGAAAATCACTTTGCGTAGTGGCTGAGCATTCTGTGATAACTGATCTGTTTCTCTGCCTTCCTCTTCTCCAGTGGCCGTTTGAACTGGATGTTTTCCAGAAACAGGCTGTGTTGCGGCTGGAGGCTCACGACTCTGTATTTGTAGCCGCGCACACATCAGCTGGCAAAACAGTGGTGGCCGAATACGCCATCGCTCTGTCACAGAAACACATGACAAGGTGTGTATTTGCTGGTG